GGCCAGAACTTGGACCATTTCTTCCTTCTTGGCAGTGAGCTGATCCTCAGCCTCTTGTAGCTTAGCTCTTTGAGCTTCAGCAGCAGCAGCAGCCCTTGAGAGTTGGACATCCCTAGCTTGGAGCATCTCTTCAGCAGCCATTCTGCTGGCTTCAAGAGATTCTAGCTGATGCTGCACTTCAGCCTGTGCAGCAGCTCCTTGGATTCGGCTCTCGATAGCAGCCTTGAACTTGGAGATGTCCACCCCCAGGTGCTCTTGGAGGAATTTTTCCCCTTCCATCAGTGGGGGAAAAACTTCCTTCTCCATAGCGTCGCAGAAGGTCTGGAGGGCTTCAGCAGCCTTTTTCTCGTACTCCTCAGCCTTCTGCTGCTTCTCTTCAGCTGCTGCCTGCTTCAGCTTAGCAAGCTTTAGCTCTTCCTCGGCTACCCTTTGATCGTGCTCGGCAGCGTCCACCCTATCTTGTAGGGAATCTATCAGCTCTACAGTGAGAGTCTGATTGTGCACGAACTGAAAACAGGGGCACAAGTTAAAAAAGTAAAAAATAATAGCTGAAAGGTTGAGTTCAGAAAGAAATCAAGGCAAGGAGAATTACCTGCATCATCAGCAGTTGGTTGGACCTGGCAGGGTCAGGAACTGATCTGCTGGATTCGCCCATCCCAGCAGTGGCCTTCAGCGACCAAATCCTTGCCCTATCTACTTCGGACAGGCCAGCAAAATCGCCGAAGTAGGCTGCAGCACCTTCTCGGTTCTGACCCCATATGAGGTCCCAGATGTGGTCTGGGACTGGAATTCGGGGGGCCGAGAAACCCATTTCTCCAGACTGCAGCGTCTGGAAGGAAGGGAAGGATGACGATGGAGCCTCTTTAGCTTTGGGTGGCTCAACGTCCTCCTCCTTCTCAGAAGAGTCAATTATTGTGACCTCTTCTTCTTCAGGTGTGAGGACGAAGGCCCCAACCTCTCTGGCAATGTCCGCCGTGAAACCCTCAGCACTGGGCATCACGGCGTCTCCATCCTTGTCCTCGGCGGCACTCTCTCGAGCTTCTTCCAGAACCTCTCCCTTAGGTTTGGGAGTTCTCTGATCCACCTCCATCTCGGGGGGTGGCGGAGAGGCCCTTGGGGGTGATTGAGGCGGTGGCCGGGGAACCCTCGGCGATCCATTGCCTTCCTCGGGTTCCCTTATTTCAACGCCGATGGTCATCGGCCTCCGCTGAAAGTCATGCGGGCCGATGATGGCCATTCTTCGGCGCCTCTTCTGAAGCGGCTGCTCGTCCATACCCGAGTCTGAAGACTCTTCTTGTACTTGGTCTTCGGGACGAACAGGGGCTTTCCCTTCCCTGTGTCTGCTGCTCTCTTCAGACTGTAAAGGGCAGGCAGGGGGAAGAATGTGAAAAAAAAAAAAAAAAAAAAAAAAAAGAAGAAAGACAAAGTTAAGTCTAAAGGCTCACCGAGGTCTTCAGCAAAGCCTCGTCTTCTTCAGCTGCCCTAGCCGCAGCTTCTTCAGCAACTCTGGAGGACCCTTCTCCACCTTCACAAGCTTCAATAACCCGTGCAACCTCTTCGGCTGTACGGGCAGCTTCAGCTTCTTCTTCCAGCAGCTGAAACAAGGGATCTCTCTTCTTCCACCAAGGCTTCTGCCTCTGATACAGAGCAACAGCCTCAATTTGGAAGTGGGAAGAGTCTAGGTGAACCTCTCGGCGCCTTGGTTCAGTGATAGGGGGAGCCCGATCAGTTACGACTCGTTCTCGGTTGACGCCAAGGCGAGCGTAATCAATGCCGACGTTGGTCTCGTCCCGTTCTGAAAAAGAAAAGGGGAGAAGTCAATTCAGTTAGTTCGGCACATCACAAGAAAGCAAAATAAAAGAAGAAAAGAGATAATTAAAAGGCCTCGGCCCCAGCCGAAGAAGATTACCATCCCTAAACTTTCGGCTGAGGCCGACAGCTGCCAGCATATTCTCTTGGAAAACATAGTGCGTATCGGGGAGCCAAGTCTCCGGGATATGCTGCATTCGGCCGCTGCCTCCCCGGTTCGGCAGCTTGCCGAAGATGTTCTGCTGATTAAGGTTCGGGTCTGGCCCGCTATCTTCGGGAGGACCTAAACTTCCCATATCAGGATCCGGCTCGGCAAGATACCGGGGAGCGCTGAAAACGTAAGGGTGGCTCGGCTCCGTGGGTGCCCTAACCCAAATCCATTGACCTCTCCAGTCCTTGTCTGAAGAGTCGTTCGGCCACATGGTTAGGAACGGGGGCCGAGACTCAATCCGATACCACCCAGAGCCATGGCTTCCGTGCCCACTCTGAATATTTGGCACTAGCCGATGGAGCTTTCTGAAGCAGTGCAGGTTCGGCACGTATCTGAAGAACTTGCAGACCCATAAGTATGTCATCACCCTTCGGATACTGGTGGGGGTTAGCTGACATAGGGAAATGTTGTAATGGATCAGCAAGTCTCGGACGAAAACGTCCAAAGGGAACCTCAGCCCATACTGAAGCTGTCTCGTGTACACCCCCACATACCCCGGGGGTGGACGATGGATTCTATCGGATGCTGAGGGCATTCGGCACCAATATCCATCAGCTTCAAAAATGCCGTAGTGCAACTCAATTTGCTCGGCAAACCGGTACTGATCAGCATTCTCCACCCACCATGAGTAGGGGCGGTTCTTTATCATGGCCGAAGCTACTTCGGCATCCTCCCACTCTGAAAACCCTGGGAGGATATCCCAAAGGACAGCGGGAACTTCATCATCCCGTCCTGAAGCGCTCACCCCCTCAGCCCTCTGAGGAGGAGCCGAAGAAATGGGAGTCGCCCTAACCCCTTCAGCAGGGTCAGACTCTGTCCTTCGTCCATTCCAGGTCCCAATCCTGTCCCTGGGATCGGGGATTAGCCTTGCTCTTCTTGGAGCACGGGCTCCACCTCTAACTCCCCTCACCATTGACGAATTTCGAAGGAAAAAGTCGAAAAAGGGGAAAGAGTGCAAAGTCGAAGAAAAATGAAATAAAATCAAAGGAATTTACCTTGATCTGAAGCAAAAGTCGCCGATTTACGAATTGGTAGTGACAAGTCTCAGCTTCTAAGCTTAATGCTCGGGGAATTTGCGAAGTTTTGATGCGGGCTCTTGAGCGTTCTTGAGAATTCTGGGTTTGTGTTGATGAATGAGTGGGGAGAGAAGACGCGCCTCTATTTATATCTCCAGAAATGGGAATTCAAGGAGTCTGCGTTTCAATTTCTCTCAAGCACCCCACTAAGTAACCGTTAAACACACGACCTTGCAGTTAAATCGCCCACTACCCATCCAACTTCCGCAATTATCCACATTAACTGTTGTTATCTCATTAATCATGGGTTAATTACGGTTTAAATTCACATTTTTGGATTAACAAATCATTCACTTCCCTCCTTTTCTGATTAAATCAAACCCGACCCGTCATCCTTCCAAATCGGGTCTGGGGGGCAAGTTGTTTGGGTCCAATTTAGTCCAATTGGGCCTGGTCACTGAATGATCCAATTAAAAGCCCAAGGTTAAGGTTCAACTCTCCAAATGTGCTAAAGTCAAAAATCAACATCCTCAAAGCCATGTCAAGGTCAGTCAACGGCCCAATCAGCTTGGCCCAGCCCAACTGACTTCCGGGCCCAATCCGCCTCCTTCATTAGCCAAGGTATAAAAGCCAACAATTTGGTCAATTCTTGGTAAGACAATAAAGCCTCAAGCAACTAAACTCTTGCACAGCTTTCTCTCTCTAATATACTGACTTAAGCATCGGAGGGGCCTTCCTCGGCGTCCCCCCCGAGGCTAGTTTACGTGTATTTGTTGTGCAGGAAACCCTCGGCTCCTGCGTCGTTCGGACCGAGACCAAGTTCCCTCAAGATAAAAGGATCTTCCGAGATTCGATTGTTTTCATCCGAAACAAGGGTGATTATGAACATATCCTGGTTCATCAAGCAAGGTTTGGCTGGTTTAGTTGTAAGCAGTGAGTTGATGTAGACTATTAGGCGAAGGAAGATGGACATATTTCCACAATTAAGGGTCATAACCTTAAGCAAATTAAGTCGAAACTGTGAGTTAATGTAGACTATTAGGCAAAGGAAGATTGACGTATTTCCACATACAGTTAAGGGTCATAACCTTAAGCAACCTAAGTTATAACTATGATTTTGTTAGTTAGTGAAGTAAACTATTAATTTCCCCTCATTTCTTTCACCAAACGCCAAACACTTGAAAATTGTACTTCGTATTGTTTTTATGCTTGGTTGAACTTGTTTCATTTCCTGCAGCTATAAATCACATTGTTGATCAATATTTTGTTAGAAGATGCAGTTATTCATGATTTTCAACTTTCACTGTCCACCAAGTTTGCTTAGTTCTATGCAATTCTATATTATGTTTTGACTTTATTTGAGTGCTCCAATATTTAGTTTTAAGTTTATGCTAATGTACCTCAGGCTCTCCGAGCATCTACGGTGTACTATATGTGCTACCCATTTAATTGAAAAGGTTTCTGCTACTGAAATTCGGATTTATGTGTAATTTTGATATGAACCATAAAAACATTAAGAAGAATCTGAATCGAAGAGATTTGAACTGAATTTAATGATGAAAACAACTCAGTTTTTTTATTTTTTTTATTTTTTAATTGGTTGGTTGTTTGTAGTAGTAGACTACTAGTAGTAATTAGGGTTTCCCTTGAAAGCTTAAAATAGGATTTCAGCTCTAGTATTGGCGATTTATTCAGGAGTTTTTCCTTTCTCTTTAAAATTAGGCTGGAATTAGAACTTTTTTCATAAAGTTCTCATTACTTCAGGTGTAATTATTGTTTTTAAAAGAGAATTTCTAAATATTACAGTACTTGTCTCGAGTTTGTTATTCCCCTGATCAGATTTCCTCTATTCCAAACTCCATCCTCCATAATGCTTCCTTCCCTTTATTTGGCTTATTTGAACTTATGATTTCCACTTTGATTGCTTGTAGGCTCTATTGACATTAATCATTGTTTAATTGCAGAATCCATACTCAGTCAACATAATTCTAGCTGGTTTTGACCAAGAAACTGGACCATCATTATACTTTATTGACTACATAGCGACTCTTCACAAGGTAGATAAGGCAGCATTCGGCTATGGTTCCTACTTTGCTCTCTCCATGATGGACAGGCATTACCGTAGTGATATGTCAGTTGATGAGGCCATCAAACTGGTTGATGATTGCATAGTGGAGATCAGGACTAGGCTTGTTGTAGCTCCACCTAATTTTGTGATCAAAATTGTTGATAAGGATGGAGCTCGTGAATTTGCCTGGCGTGAATCCATAAAAGATCAGGCCGTTGCAGATGCAAATGCTGCTGCTGTATCTGCTTCTGTCTGAGGGTATCTGGTTGTTCAGTAGTGAAAAATAGGCCGTTTTTTATACTTTCTGAAGGTGGTAGCGTTGATATAACAAGATGATTTACTATGTTTTGAAACTGTATGCCCTTACTTTGGAGTTGTCATCTTGAGATTTTACCCCACTGTTATAATTAATGCTGAAACAATCATCAAATTGATTGATCTAGTTCATTTATCACAATGCTAATCTTAACTTGTATGAGAATTGTGGATTCGTGGAAGGTTGAGCGAACACCTTACCATCTCCATTCTACATCCTATTGTGAAGACCTCACCATCTCGATTCTACATATCCCTATTGCTCGGCCTTCCCACTCTACTTGGTTGGAATACTGAAAACCTTTGGAGTACCTTCATGTGTCCTTCTCCAGTTGCATAGCGAGACTCAAAGCTCGTAGCAGAGTCAAAGGAGCAAGGGTTATCACTCTCTTTGGCTTTGTTTTTGTTGTTGTTGTTGTTGAGGCTATTTAATCCCTTTCGATGGCCTCGTTCACCCTCTGGACGCTTGTGCCCTCCCCTATGTTGATCGAATTATTTTTCACAATGCAATTTGCATTGCCTTTGCCCTTTGTCGTGGAAAACCTTCCTTACACTTTTTCAGACAATGTGTGTAATCATGTTCTCTTGGGTGCCTATTCATCCATGAGTTCAAGCTAATTTATCATATTGTTTTTGTAATCCATTGTACAAGCCCAATACGAGAGTAGTCATTAAACATTAGTATATATATATTTTTTTGATGCATAGACATTAGTATATTTTAATTATGTAGTATGTTGCTAGGCACTCTACAAGCGGGGCTTGATCAACAACCCTATGATTAATTTTATTAGATGTTATTAGGTCATGTTTGGCAAAAGTAGCGATAGCGGGTAGCTTTTAGCGGTCGAGTAGCGGGTATCTATTAAGGTAGCGAGTAGCTGTCAATTAGTAGTGGGTAGAGGTTAGCTATCAAAGTAACGATTGATAGTATGAGTGTTTGACAAAAGTAGCGGTTGCAACAAAAAAATACATAAAAATTCATATAAATATTGTTTAAAAAGTAATAAAAATTTGTCAAACGCTACCCGCTACTTCTAAATGCTACTATTTTTAACGTTTGAGAAAAACTACCTAAACGCTACCTCAATCGCTAACCACTACTGAAACTGCTAACTTGCCAAACACTCTCAAATTTTTTATAGTAGTGTTTTGACTGGTCAAAACGCTAACCGCTACCTCAAACGCTGTTAGGTTTACAGTGAATTTCAAACTAGAAATCACTTAATAAAATGTGTGGGAAACAAAACCTAAAGATATAATTACAAAACAAAGTAATGTAATTAAACAAACACAACACTGGTGTTTCAATCAAGTATTATAATCTAAGAAATTACAGAAATTTCAAAAGAAAAACACTAGTAAGAAGATTAATTACACTTGCCTAAAACTCCAAGCCGAAGAACCACACATGAACATGAGAATCGCAACGTCCCTTGAGACTATGATCTTGATGCACTGTCAAAGGCGTATGAATACTTTCCTAAAGGGATTAATTTCCCCCACACGGAGCTAGGGTTATTCCGGAAATTCCCTTTGAGATACAATTGACAGCACTTTCCGTTCTTGGCACAAAGAATCGAAAAAACCGATGGATGATTCACAAGAAAGGCTAAAATGAAGAAGTTTTCTCAAAATAGTTTGCAAGAAAATTTAGAGAAAATATGGAGCATTGTTGGGGAGAAGATGAGAGAATAATGTTCTGTATGTTCTTACTTTCGAAAAACTCATTCTATATAAAATAGAATCAACCGTCGTATAAAACCGCAAAACGGCAAGAAGCGCGGGCGCGAGCGAAGAGGCGCGGGCGCGAGTGAAGAGGCGCGGGCGCGCCACCATCTCGCGCTGGCGCGCCTCCTTCTTTGCCTAAAAACTTCGATTTTCCAGAAATTTAGCGTGATTTATGCGCGGTTTGGGCGCGGGTCGCGCCATGCCATGACGCGGGCGCGCCTCCAAACTTTTCTAGATTTTCCAGAAACTCATCGCGGTTTATACGCGGTTTTGTCGCGGGTCGCGCCTAGCTGGCGCGAGCGCGATTCCATAGAGCGAACGCTCCACTCCGACACTTTAAATTATTAACAATCCTCCCCCATTTAGAGTGTCTTCTTTATACGTTCTCCAAATCTATCATTTAGCCACATCTTATGCGTCAATGTTAATGTCCCTTCGGATTGAATTAACACCTAGTACAACTCACTTAACGATGATCATATCCCATGATTTCCATATGGATTGAATCACACAGATATATCCAACCATTCGAAGGTGAAGTATACATAAGATAAATAGAATCATTCATCACTTGACACTTTTAAACAGCAATGTGTCCGTATCTTTCATAAGTTCATTAAAGTCTATATGTCCATCTAGACTTCTTGAAGCGGCTAAACTTCGAACCTATATACACTACACGAAAAGAGCAAATTGGCAACGGTTCAAACCCCCCCAAAGGCAACGGTTTTGAACCGTTGCGTATTTGAGCGTTGCCAAATCCCAAAATAATTGGCAACGGTTCAAAACCGTTGCCAACGCAAGCAATTGGCAATGGTTAATCGTTGCCAACGCAAGCAATTGGCAACGGTTAACCGTTGCCAAATACAATGCACCCTTTTTTTTTTTTTAAAAAAAAAAAAATAATTGGTGCACTTTTTAAAATTTTTTTTTAATATTGGCAACGGTTAACCGTTGCCATTGACCTGTATAAATTTTTTTTTTTGCTGCACTAATATTGACCTGTTTTTTTTTTTTGCTGCAATATTATTAGTATTATAATATTAACATTAATAATAATTATAATAATTATTATTATAATATTAATATTAATATTAATAATAATAATAATTATTATTATAATAGTAATAATAATAATAATTATTATGATAATAGTAACAATAATTAGTATTATTAATAACAAAACATAAATAATTAATAATAACAATCGCAAGAGATGATATAAATTAGAAAAAATGTTTCATGTATAGTACATAATTAGTAACCTAAGGCTAGGATTGATGAAGAGATGATATAGTACAAAAATGTATGACGATATTTACAAATTAAATGTGATGTAGGTCGCCAACATCTCCCGAATTACATGGAGTTCCTCGCTCGTGTATGGCTGTCCCGTTTGCCCCTTGCAAAACTTAGAATACACAAAACGTGAGTTAGTAGAAGTGAATTAATAATAATTGGGGTTAGTTAAATGTGACTAATGCTTGAGATTACAAGAAAAAAGCAAGTAAGAGGTTTTGGGACGCAATTTCAACCAAAATGGCTCAAGTAAGGCTATTTTGGCTACTATGATGCCTATTTTCTACAATTCTTGTCTATTGAACTCATAACTAGTTAAAATATGTCATTATCACTTATTTATAGGTGACTAATGCTTGATATTACAAGAAAAGAGCAAGTAAGAGGTTTTGGGACGCAATTTCAACCAAAATGGCTCAAGTAAGGCCATTTTGGCTACAATGATGCCTATTTTCTACAATTCATGTCTATGGAACTCATAACTAGTTAAAACATGTCATTATCACTTAGTTATAGGTGACTAATGCTTGAGATTACAAGAAAAGAGAAAGTAAGAGGTTTTGGGACGCAATTTCAACCAAAATGGCTCAAGTAAGGCCATTTTGGCTATTATGATGCCTATTTTCTACAATTCATGTGTATTGAACTCATAACTAGTTAAAACATGTCATTATCTCTTAGTTATGGGTGACTAATGCTTGAGATTACAAGAAAAGAGCATGTAAGAGGTTTTGGGATGCAATTTCAACCAAAATGGCTCAAGTAAGGCCATTTTGGCTACTATGATGCCTATTTTCTACAATTCTTGTCTATTGAACTCATAACTAGTTAAAACATGTCGTTATCACTTAGTTATTGGTGACTAATGCTTGAGATTACAAGAAAAGAGCAAGTAAGATGTTTTGGTACGCAATTTCAACCAAAATGGCTCAAGTAAGGCCATTTTGGCTACTATGATGCCTATTTTCGATAAAACTTGTCTATTGAACTCATAACTAGTTAAAACATGTCATTATCACTTAGTTATAGGTGACTAATGCTTGATATTACAAGAAAAGAGCAAGTAAGAGGTTATGGGACGCAATTTCAACCAAAATGGCTCAAGTAAGGCCATTTTGGCTAATAGGATGCCTATTTTCGATAAAACTTGTCTATTGAACTCATAACTAGTTAAAACATGTCATTATCACTTAGTTATAGGTGACTAATGCTTGAGATTACAAGAAAAGAGAAAGTAAGAGGTTTTGGGACGCAATTTCAACCAAAATGGCTCAAGTAAGGCCATTTTGGCTACTATGATGCCTATTTTCTACAATTCATGTCTATTGAACTCATAACAAGTTAAAAAATGTCATTATCACTTAGTTAAATGTGACTAATGCTTGAGATTACAAGAAAAGAGCAAGTAAGAGGTTTTCCTGTTGTGCGCACTAGCATGAGGAACAAAGCACATGAATCAAAATGCATAGCAAATAAGCAACATCTTAAGCATTGTAAAGTAAGAAAATCACAACATCATGGGTGAATTACCTTGGGTGCTTTCCATGTAGGACCTCGAGGAGATCGAGGATTTATCTTCTTCATGGTACTACAAAAAATCAAAGTAATAAGTTCAAATTTGACTAGTATAATCAATACATATGAGTTCAGATATGAAAATGAATAACAAGAAGTGAAACAAATTAGATGCTTACTTTTGCAGTATGGACCTCACGAGGCGCTTTCTTACTTGAGGTAACCGAGCAGAATCAAAGTAGAAGATTGTGCTACTGGAAACACAAATCACAAGTAGGGTCCAATGATAACTACACACGAGACAAACAAATTAATAGTTATCCTGTTACAACAAATAAACTGGGAACCCAAATGAACTTGACTAGCATAATCAGATGTACTCCTCATAGTATGGGACGAATATAAACTTGTCTCCCGCACTCACTGATTGCCTGATACCCCGTTCAGCATAGTACAACACGTCAGCGGAGTTGCCTAAGATTCTAGCAGTGGACATCTGTTCAGGGCACAACCACCCAACTTGACAAGGAGATTCAAGCTCCCATATTTGCTCCTGGAGTGCTCTGCATGCATGATAACACAATGTTAATCGAAAACCAAATGAAAAACACCACTAAACTG